CCTGATATTTGCCACTTCGCATTTCTGGACTTCTTTTATCTGAGACTGTACGGCCATCTTTATGTTTTTTGGGGGTTTGGTTATGACTGTCAACTCCATGCAGAGATGCAGCTGTGCATAAACCAGCTCTGGAAGTAGAACAATGCAAGAGCATCTTTGGGCTGAGTGACATTGCGTCAGGTGTTGCTGAACTGCTGGGAAGGACCATGTGTGCTGTGTGGCTACAGGGACGTAATGGCTCACTTGGGTGGAACTGGGGTGTCGCTGACATGATGCCACATCATCTAGACACGCTCTCAAAGTCAGTCGTGAGGGTTCTGTTTGAAGAACATTTTGGAATCTGACCTTTGTCTTGTAAAAATTATTCAGACTCAAAACCATTGCTGCTTCAAGATTAATCCATTTCTAGTCCTTTTGTTCAAAGGAACATAAACAGCTGGAAGGAAATCATGTATGTTATTGAAGCACTACGTTAATCACTATAAGCAAACTAGTACAATGCTCTTTTGATATTCTAATGTAAAACCAAATGCATGCTACATCCAGAAACCGAAAACTGCAGTAATTGAGCCAAATTATTTCAAAGTAGAATACTCACCATCCATCAAATGTGATAATGTGTGGATCAGTGAAGGAGTAGCAGTTCCCTGTTGGGAGGTCTCGAACTGTGACCTAGTTAAAATGAAATGTGTAATGAATACAGTCTACACAGCAGTTTTTCTTCATTACTGCTCCTCACAAAACATTAGGGGCAGGATTCATGTGTCAAGTACAGACTAAAATCTGACTTCTAAAACATGATTGCGAATGGGTACAAAATAGGCTTTGCTTTCAAACAACGGAGTTTAATCACATGCAATAAGGGAGTTCAAAGTGCTCCTATTCCACCTGATGTAATGCGCTGTCTTTCTTTATCTGGTAAAAAGCAAAGCTTTTTCATTAAAATTTTCTGCTAAGAAGTAGATCATTCAACTGAAATTATCAAGAGAGTAGAGTGCTCATTAAATTGTACTAATTTTAATGCCTGAAGTATGGTGGAAAGTATGCTGTAATTAAATAGCATTAGCATATTTTAGTAGTAGTCACTGCCTGTCCCCCAATTTGACCTTAAATTTCCTAATACAACATATGAATGGCTGATTTATACATTGAATGTGCAGGTTATTGATCAGGTGCTGGAGACAAAGGCCCAAATCAGGCTGCTGGAGCTGTCTGCTTTTGGCATGGGAATAAAAGAGGAAAGGATGTAATATAGCAACAGAGACCTTCAGCTGCACGAGCTCTTGGTCGCTTGGTCACAAGCTGGGTCGCAGCCAGCGTCTGAGAGTCCTGGAGCCCTGCAAGGAGCAGATATGCCTGCGATGGCCAGGGGAAGGGCAACTCCCTTCGAAGCTGCAATGTCTTGGGCAGCGCTGGGCCTGCATTGCCGTATCTGCTCCAGATGGTGTTTTTTCATACTCTGCTATCCAGTTCTCAGAAACGCAAGACTGGATCCTGTAGTGATTTGCAATATGAAGAGCTCCCAATCGTACTGGTGGGAGTGATGAAGTATTACGGTTTTCCCATATCCAGCCTGCCAGGCTGATTTCTTGGCCAGGGCTGTTAATTCTTTGCTCGCTTTTTGCCCGTGGGAAAACCAGAGGTGCAATTGGGTTAGTTCTGCCATGATTTGCAGAGCGGGGAAGAATAATGGCCGCTATATCCTTGTGCTGTCTTTCAGTGACAAAACAGAACTTAGCTTTTAGGAACAGTGGTGAAATTAAATAAATGAATAAGAGGGTGAAGATAGAACCACACTCCTAGACAAAATTCTTCACCTGCAGCAATACACCAGCTGTATTTCAAAATGCCATTTAACTGTTGCCCAGAGACACTGCTTAGACACCCGCCAGTGTCTGGCATCCCCAAATGTTAAAAGTGATGGTCTTGAGGAATGAAAAACTGAACATCTCTTTGAGCAGCATTTTGATCTGAGGTCAATTGTATCTACAGTGTGATATAAAGAAGTGTCTCAGAATTTTCCCATTTTCTCCATGGCCGCAACCTTCCTAAGTAAAACCTTTGCAAGAACAGATCTATGTGGCCCTTCTTGCTCTGCTATTTTCTTGCATAATACCAGCAGAGGATGCAAGAAGTAGTTGTTGGCAGTCGTTTTCTGAAGAAATCCACTTTATTGGGTGTCTGAGTGGGTCAGGATGTTCTGCCCACCATTGCCGTTCAATTTTCAGATAAATCAAAACTATTGGAACAAGTCTGAAGGACTAAAGATTATGTGGATTTTAATATATGGATTTTTCCTTGATATGTTGCAGGAACTCTGTTACATTAAAACACCTCTAATTAACTGCAAAGCAGCAACGGGGAAATGGAAAGGAGGGAAGGCAATGTCTAATAAGTTTCCATAGATCAAGTTTTAACCAAGATAGGTAGAATTTATTATTAAAATTGATTAATTCCATTTCACACTTGCTACATTTTTGTATTTTAATGGAAGCATTTGTAACTTCAAGAAAAAATACAGGTATGTGAGTGTACTACATGATATTAGCTGCAATCTCTGATTTAAGAACCTTAAAAAGTTTAAAAGAAGCCTATGCTGGAGAGGAAAGGATATAGTCATGTGCTTGGCATTTTACCTTTGAAGGCAAAAATTATTTTGGTCCAGTTTAATCTCGTTCTCTCATGAGCAAATCCACAAAAATCAGGACAGTGAAATTATAGATTTCATTGGGGGTTTGTTTTCAGTTACTTAAAATATACCAGCTTGGATGTGCCACTGCTCTGAGAAATTTAGCTGAGTCAAATCCATGCTCTGGTTTATTCTCTTGGGTGGTGGGATTATGGCTCTCAAAACTCCCAGCCGAGGTCCTAAAACAACTTCACAGACAGCGGGCCAGTCCCTGCTCGCTACACTCCTTTCTAGGCAGGGAAAACATGGCTTGCCTCCCTGATTGAGTCTTATTATTTTAATTTTGGACATTTTGTACAGGGATAAATGAAGAGACGGAGCAGCCGCCTGTGTCGTCGGAGGTGTCCCAGTGATTCCTGGCAGTCACAACTGGAACGCGGCGCTGCTGACTCCCGGTTCTCCTTTCTCATCACTGAGGTACTGCCTTTCCTCTGCTTGTTCAGAAACTGTTTTCCAAGCCCTCAGTTTCCCTCTCCCTCCTTCTCAAAAAGGTGCTCATTCCCCAGCCCGGGTTCTCCCTCTCTCCTCTTCCATCATACACAAGCGCACCTGGTTATATCTATAATCCAGCTGTTGGCCTTACTGATGTGCTGACTAATAATCAAACCTAAATTTTTTAAAGCATGAGGCTTTTTTCTTCATTTTCTTGGTGTATAAAGAAGCTGTTTTGGTTTACTCTGCTAACGGCAGTCCCCAAATGTTTATATGGTTAAGTTTTATTGTTGTTTTCTGCAGTACTAAACCTCCCATTTAAATTTGACACGTTTTCCGAATTATTTTAGGACCCGACCTTCACATCCTTTGGTGTGTAAGCCCTCCAAAGCAAATCCCTCCGTCCGACTGGCTCAGCTCGGATGCGGCTGACGCGGTTCCCGTCCTGAGCGAAGTCTGTCACGGCCGTCACCGCCAGCGTGGCCGCTGCGCAGCTGCTCCCCGAGCAGGGCGCTCGCAGCAGATCCACCTGGCATGCCGAAAGGGCGATGTCTGGGCGCCCCGGTAATCGGCTATCTAAAATGAACACGAAGACCGAGTCTGACAAGAGGTATCCAAACAGTTGCCCGTACTCTGTTTACTGTCCATCGCAAGTGTTTCACGTCCCAGGACACACATGCCTTGAAGCCAGATGGGTTTTGCGCGAGGATGGTTGCGACTGACTCCACTGGCATCCCTCTGCACATTTTACTGTGCTTTTTTTTTTTCCCTCTGCAGTAGACAGTTTACTAAAACTCAGTGGTGCTTTTCTTTCCACAGGTGCTAATATTTCTGGAATGACTGTCTTATCTTTATGGGTCCATGCCCAGGGAATGAAGATGAGTAGTTCTCATGACAAAGAGAGAGATGAATCTGTGTTTCTGGACAACGTTTGTCTTTCACTAGCTTTATTATAAGGAGGTATCTGTTGGGAGTTATTTAATTTAAAAGAAACGGAATTTTTGATCTGGAAAGGGAGTGTTCTTGAGTTACTTTATAGTGAACTTTGGATCCATGACAGGAAAGCAAATGCAGCAGATTTCTGTTTGTAGTTCTGGCTTAGCTAGGTTACAGTGCTGCACTTTCCAACCTGTAAAATGGTGGTAGTTTTATTTCTGTCTTTCACAGAGGCATTGTGAGGATAAATTCACTAAAAGAATGCAGAAAACTAACAAACTATGGTAGTACTGTCTGTGATGGGAAAGGAAGTGATGGCTAGTGATAAAATCAATATGGCAATAGCAACCCAAGTCATTCATTCAGCTCTGCCTCTGCACATCCTGTCTTTCCTAAAGGGACTTCTAAGTGCAAGACTAGTAGTGTCCGTTTCTCTTGTTTGGGCCCAGTATTTAGTTTCCTGTCCCAGATCAATAATTATAATCTGAAAAGAACAAAGTTCTAAAAATAGTGTCAATGGAATTAATCTAATACGAAAAAATTAAATTTTCGTATCATTTTCTCCATTTGTAGAATTCTTTAATAATTTATAGGAAATGGCATTCAAGTATTTTAAGATGGTATTTCTAACACGATCAAATAATCCTTATGGAAAAGACTCATAAAATATAATTTAAATTAACCCTGTAGAGTTCTATAGGAACTGAACTAAAAACCTACAAATATTAATAGCATATTATCTCTCATACCAAATCCTTAAAGGCTGCCTCACATCTTGTAGAAAAGTCCTGGCTCATTTTCAAGGTTCTTGATTCAATTAAATTGGAGGTTTCCATGAGGAATAGTTATTGCCATTACAGCCCCATGAGCTGTGCTCACAACCCAGAACAAAAGTTTAAAATCAAAGAAAGTCATCTTGTCAAAATAGTAATGATAAACTTAACAGAAGCTGAACTCCGGTGGCTCTGCTGTGCCTTGGCATTCATTATGATATTGTCTGAACTCAGAGAGATATTTCTGTGCTTGTAATTAGCTTTCTTATCACTTATTCCCTACATAATTAGCACAACTGTGTTGTTATATGGATTCAGTCAGACAAGGAGCTTGTCAGTTAATTTATTCAGTATAAACGGATCTCAGCTAAAGTTGTTTTTATTTTCAGTTTAGAGCACTGTGGCCGACATTACATTTTTCAGAAGCCCACAGTGTTCCTTCAGATAAACTAACGGACCCTACAGACATTAAAGGCACAAAAGAGACATGCAGTTGTGCAAACATACAGCAGCAGGTAGTCATCCTTAAGTATATACGGATATTTCACATGATCATAAATGGCCCAAGTGTCATCCAAGGAAATAGCCTCAGGATGGAGCAATCAGGGCCTAGAGCTGGTAATTAGTGTAAGCTGCAGAAATGAGTTGATTAAAACTAATGGAAATTTTCCACTTCAGTGAAAAGTTCCTTCAAAGATTTGTTAATTGGTCGAGTTGTACCTCCATCCTGGGACCAACAGGTCAAGCCCATAGATAGCTTGAAAATAAAGCTGCTTCTGTAAATCTTGCCTCCCTTTTTTCTTCCAGTCAAATGCCTGTTGTGGGACTGGAGAAGACCCTGGCAAGGGGTCTACCTCAGTCCCATCTATCGAACTCAGCCTCCCCGACTTGAGAGCTCCTGGACCATGCACTCATTCTCACCGAGATGTTGAAAGGCTATATCGATGCCTAAAAAAATGGAAGTTAAAAAAATTACCTTGATAGCTTATGGGACTAATTCTCAGTTGTTCCTCATAAATGGTAGGTGTCTAAGTTGCTTGAAGGCTGTGGGGACATCCCACCACACACCAGCCTGTGTTCTTAGCTACCTCAATATCTAAGAAAATCTGTTCCCATGAGCTCAGCGGATGTTTGCCTGATGGACCGGCAGAGACTCCAAGCCAAGAGCAATACATAGAACAGAGCAGCACGGAGCCATGGAGAAACAGAAAGTACTCCATGTACGAGAGCCAACACAGCTGCTGGAGCCATAAGGTGCCGTTCAGTTTAAGATCATTGTGTTATAATATCATTTGAATTATTTTTTCTTCTGTCTAAGCACTTGGCTGATGATGGGGAGAGAAAGGAGGGGGATTTAGAAAGGGAAAAATATCAGCAACTATCTAGGTTTTGCCAACTTTTTTTTGAGCTGGCTTTTTGTGGGTAGAGAAACGTGGCTGTAATCCTATGTTCAAACATTTTTCTCACTGAGCCACCTATGGAGGTGTTGGAAAAAAGGTTGGGTGTTTTATTTAGTGCAAATGGAAAGTAAATATATATATGCCACCCTTGGTTAGGCATGATAGTCACCAGAATAACCTTTCCTCAAAGCATCTACTGATTAAACGACAAGAATTTTCTAAGTGACGTTGTCAATGTAAAAAAAAAATACCTTTAGAAAGAGAATAATATAGAAACATGAGAATAATTTTTTTCTTCTGTATTAAGTTAGACAAAAATTGTAAGCCAGAGGAAAAAAAAAGGTTTCAGTACACATTTACTGCAGGTGAGCTTCTTATTGGTAATTAATGAAATTATTCTAGCTAAGACTATTGCCGCTTCAAAAATTTAAAATGGAATTTTATATTTCTTGAATTTAAAATAAGTTCTTCTACTCATAGTTATTTCATCCATAAGTCTCAATGGACTACCATTCAGTTTATTGCTAGTCAGATTTTTTTTCCGCAAAAAATGAGTGATATTGTAATTTATTTTATTTTGCAAAAAAAATATGGCCTAGTTTGTTGATTTTATGGGTTTTGCCCTTTGTTGTTATTTTAGTCTTATCATTTCTATTGGCATTCATTATAACATAAACACATGAAGAAGTAATCACATTAATTCAATAACAATATGTAGAACTCTTACCCAAATCCTCAGTACTTAGCTGCAAAGTAATTTTACAGGAATCGTCATGCCCGGGACAGGCAATGGGTACAGTGCTCAGAACGGTCAAAACGTGCTCTTTGCCATCCTCTGCAATTTGTAATGATTCTGGTAAAAACTGGAAATAAAAAAATAATTTTTAGATCATTTTGTCAGATTAATTAGGCAATACTGATATTTATGAAATTTTGAGTAGTCATAATCAATTACGAAAAGGTATAATTGCTTGTAAAATAATAATAATCTTTGTAATGATCCTCATAACAATAATCTTTGTAATAATGATCTTCAACTTTACAAGGTGAAAATGTTGTTAAAATACTTTAACAGTCTTGGCAATTAAGAAAATGTTTGCATTTGTCATATATAGCATCTAATTGCTTCTTATCTCCTATTCTCAAAACAGGTTTTTATTAAGCCTGAAAATAGCATGACATCACAGGATTTATTAATTTTGAATATACCTAGTTAAAAGGAGTTCCTATTGCAATGCACTGGGAGAAATACCAGCAATATGCATGGCCTAACGTACGGCATTCCCTCATGGTCATGGACTCTATGGTTGTACTCCGCCCCAGGCGCAAGGTGAGTGCAAGTTTTGTGTGATTCCTCTTCCCTGCCATGTCTTCAAACGTCACACAGAATGGGCTGCCAGGTTTTTCAAACACCATTCATGAAGGCATGAAGCTTAGATACTCAGAACATCTTAATTTCTCCTGGACTGCCAGACTGACAGTCTTATCCTTGAGCGGGATTAGCCCTGCTTTTTGCACTCAGTGTGACTTTTTCTTCAGCAATTTGGTTTTTGTAGTGCCTGACCGTACAAAGATGATGGATAAAAGTTAATTTTTGTCTTCACTTTGTTCTGGTTTAGTTACAACAAAATTCTGCACCCTTGCAGGTGTGAAATGTTCAAAAAACATGTAGACGTGGCACCTTAGGATACGATTTAGTGGGCATGGTGCTGTTGGGTTGATGGCTGGACTTGATGATCTTAAAGGTCTTTTCCAACCTTAATGATTCTGTGATTCTGTGTGGTTCTGTCTTCCCATCATGCATAACCACTCACTTTGGGGTGTATTTACTCGAAGATGTAGTTTTGCACATTCTTGGTGCTGCATCAGTGTCACCACCTGCACACAGTGCTGACGGGTGCTTTAGGGCATTTTACAAACAGACTGAAAGCCATATAATTTATTAAGACATTTTCTCAAAGTGAAAATAAAAGCAGCACTGGCTATGATGATCAAGGCTTATGTTTCCATGTCTTGCTTTTCAGACCGTGCCAGATAAGGTATAAATATTCCCCGGGGATACGCTAGACAAGTCAGTAAATCGGGGCCATCAGCATTACCTTAATCCCAGCATAGAAACCTTTGCTCTCTTCAGGCAATGACTGCTGCTCAGGAGAGTCCCTTGTAAAAGCAGTGACAGTGCAAAAGACCTGTAATAAATAAACAGCGTATGCTATAGCTTTTCTTGAAGAAAAAAACATATAATTATGCATCTTCCTCTTGATCTGGGTTGTTGAGGGCTTTTTTCCACCATTGAAAGAGAATTTGGGGGCTTAGGCTTTAAAAATGTTTATGAATAAATCTTGAGATTGAAAAGAATTTTTGATGCATTTAATAAGCAAAGGAATATGACTTCTGTCTCAACAATTAATAACACTGAATGTTTTTCTTCTGCAGTTTTTCAAGCACCTTGGTTAGTGATATTAACTCATTTTAGTTAGGGAGAACTACGTTGTTCATAGACGTTATTGTCAGGATTAGGACATTAGCCCTTGGGTTCCCAGACTTCAATCTGTCCACTGGATCAAATATCCTCTCTCTGACTGGTAAGCAGTTGGTAAGCAGTTTTTTTAATTTAAATTATTTTGACAGTCATCTGGTCTCAGAAACTGTGTCAGCAATATAAGAAGCTCCTTTTTTTTTTTCTTATTGCATTATAAAATGTGATGCAGATGTGCCTACAAGGTTTATATTGTAAAAAAAAAATATATAAAAATTCCCCAAAACCAAAAAAACCCACCAAACACAATGAATGAGACCATTTATGTTTTATTCCTAACACAGTCATGCAACCTTTATCTCTGCTGAGCCTGCACACCATCTGCCATCTTAATGTTTTATTGGTTTCCGAAAACCCAAACTGCTAACATCATTTCTAGGATCATAAGATTAAACTACAGAAATTTTCCTTAAAGCAAACGACAATAAGCTCTGAAACTGTACTTCTAAATTTTTTTTTGGGCCTCGTCTCAGAAATAGAGTAACAGATTGTGACATACTAAATCAATTCCAAATAGTCAGATGGCATATTTATAGTTACTGCCTTTTTTAAGCCTTGAGTAACCCATGAGGAGGGATTGGACCAATCTAATTTATTTTCTATTGTGATAAACACCTTTGGACAGATTTTCCAGCATCGCTCGCTGTCCGTGCTGCTCTCGGTAGCTCTCACCTGCCGGCTCAGGCACGACCCTCATGACCAGTAGCAATGAAACAGGCTCAAAATCAAGATATTCCCAGATTCATATGGTCATATGGGCATGAGATGCTTAACACTCTGGAATATTTTTTTACCACCCTATAAATCCCTCTTCATTACCATCAAGTCATGAGTTTCCTCCAAACTGAAGCATCCTCTTTCCTAACTCATTTGTGCACAACGAAAATGCCCCACCGGCAATAGATCGTCATTAGTATGTCTATGGGAAAAATCAAGTTTTTTCTGTGCTCTTCAGGTGGATCATTTCCAGTCCAGCTCAGTCCCAGGTTTATGTGCCTTTTGGGCTGTTTTTAACTTCAAAAGTTTCTCACTCTTTTGATGACAGCTCCAGCCACTTTGGCTCAGTGAAAATGGTGTTATTTGTTCCATTAACTAGATGGAAGTCTTGAGGTCATACTGGGTGTACTGGTGGAAAAAAAGACACAGGCCTCACAGAGATACTTTACAGTTACAATTCCTCAGATACTTCGTAGTTAGCCATTTTGCCTCCAAAGGAGAACAAGTCATTGTCTCCTCAAGGTAATAAGTCCCTGTTATCATTAGATACTTATTATCTCCAAGCATTCCCTAAAGGCTGGTGTTCAGCTTACAGTTTTCAAAAAAGTTCCGCTGCTGGGAAGGCAGAAGATGAGCATTGATCTTCCTCCTGCTGCTTCTCCTACAGCTGCCACGGGGAGAGTATGCAAAATCAGGATGTGACAAGGCGGTGACAACAGAGAAAGAGCTCAGATAATGTATATTTTCCCTGGTGAAAAAACCCAAACCAACGATCCCCTTGCAGAGCTCATTGAGCGAATCCAATGCACCTGCATTGCAGAGACTATATTTACACTTCCCGGGCTGTTTGCGCTTTTGGCTTTGATGCTTTTTACCAAAAATATTCACAGGGAGACGTCCCTGTGAGCATGCCAGGTGTAGCGTTCCTGCCAAGGAGAGAGTTGTAATGAGAGGCAACAGGGTGGTGCGCAAGGATGCCCGGCACCGAGGCATGTCCCGGTGATTCTCCCCAAAACAGCATCCTGGGAAATGTCAGAACCCAGCCTCATTCCCTGCAAGCATCGTATTTTCTCACACATATATTTTAGAGGTATATTTTATTGATAAAACACTGAACACTAAAATAAAAAATCACTCCGTAATGATATACTGAGATACTATTAGAATATCAGTCCGTTCCAGTTCTACCTTCAGCACTTTTGGAGATTAGCACAAACTTCACAAATTCGAAATGTGCGGACAGCCGTCATGAGTTGCATTTTATTTCTGTCTTTTATATCATTCCTCCCCTTGTAGTGCCTTTGCCTTGTTAGGTGCACACTTCATTTCACAATCAGCAGATATGTTCATTGGATACTGAGCTACAGGTTGACAGTTTGTCACATAATTATTATGATAGTCACTCTGAGGAGTTTTTTCTGCCTTCAGCTAAATACTAGCTCTTTTTCTCCAGTTCAGTAATCAACTTCTTCTTTCTCTTCTTCCCACCCTCCCCGTCTCAGGATGCAGCCTTTTTAAAGCAAAGAGATAAAAGCATCACTGACAGCAGTATGCTGATAACCTTGACAGGTTAGGCAGTATTTTTCCACAAATTCATTGGATCTGTTAAAAAAAATTTATAATTTTTCATCATCCCTTTTAAAGGGACGGAAGTGTAAGGGTGCCCTTGGACAGGATGACCAGAGTGCTTCTGGGCATGGGCTACTCCCTTCCCCCATGCGCCAGCAGATCTTCCCATAGAGTAGAAAACTACTTTTACGCATAAAATTCTGATAGAAAAAGACCATGGTAGCTAAGAAGTTTCTCCTTTCCTGTGTGTTGAAGCAGATTTCCACCCTTATATGGAATCAGTCAGATTCCTTCCCACTTTGCCATGAACCCTGTGAGCAGCGTATTTACCTTAAAGCAGCGTTCTGTCATTAATTTGGTGGGGGTTGGGTAGCTCTGGGAAATAATTTGGGAGAGTATTTTAATCCTAGGACCTGTCACCATCTCAGCCACATTTTCCTCTAACAACTTGCACATCAAAATGTGGGTTTTTTTCAGAGCTCTCAGAATCCAAAACTCCCCCAAATCAGTTGTTTATACTCATTTCGAACATAAAACCGCCTGTAGTTTCACCCTTCTCTGTACACCTAATTACTTCTGAATGTAGTGCAGGGATCATCTGCGGCAGCTTGAGCACGTCGTGAGAGATGTGGGGCTGAGGGCAGAGACAGAAAAGCTCAAAGAAAGTCACATTCATGTTTGTTGCCGTCTTCAAAGGCAGCGCGCGCAGAGGGGGACGCGCGGAGGGGGACGCTTGCTGGCACATCCAGCATGGCCATGCCTCCCGTTTCGTCAGCCTCTCCCAGCTGTGCTCAGATAAGGGGTTGGGTTCCTGAAAGCAAAACAGGAGATACTTGTTTTGTGATCAAAACCCATCCCTGCTTTTCAGTCAGGTACCTGTGAGGGCTCCTAGGTTCGCCAGATAATTTCGGGAGCTCTCAGAAAGGCTGACCTCAGCTGCATGCTTCTCAAAGCATTGGCAGAAATGGTGCTACCACCCATCTCAAGAGGGTCCTGGGGACAATGGCACTTGTCCTCAAAATAGGGAGAGCTGACAGATGAGAGTACTGCGTTTGGGTCTGCCCATCAGGACGGCTTGCATGTTTTACCTAAACAGTCACCAGAGAAAATAAGCAAATAAGCTGTGGTCCCTGCTTCCTCTCCTAGTGCAGCCTGTGCCCTGGGAGCGGGAAGGGCAGGACAGGCACCTAATTCACAGCTTGGAGGACCAGCTACCCATTTCCCATCTCTCCAGTAAACACTTGAGCTGTATTGTAGTGCCAGAGGCCCCACAGTGACAACAGCAATGGCTTGAAGTTGAAATATTTACTTTTACTGGTAGTGATCTTTCAAAGCCTACATACAGCCAGGTACATCTGAGTAGGACTTGAAGGTCTGGATTGAAAAGTAGATGGAGGCACTTTCCTGACAGGACATCCAGTCTCCCGAGAGGTCTGGGAATTCAGGGATGCTGCTCCGGTCAGTAATTTATGTTGGCCACCTCTGGGAAGTTCCCTTCTCAATGTAAGGTACCATTTAGGAATGGCCACTTCTTCCCATGCACTGGGCAGGGAAGTCTGCAGGCTGCTGGTAAGGTGCGGGTGCCTACGCTGTGGGTGATCAACTCTGTTAACTGCAGGATGGGAGCTGATGTACCCACCTAGCTACATCCCCCATGCCAAAAGGCAGGCGGGGGCTGCAAGGGTGAGAGTCCCTCACCCGCCCTCATGGCTGGCAGGTGAAGGGTTGGGCAGGGAGTCAATCATGCCAGAGGAAGGGTGTGATGGCTATCACGGCCTCTGAGCTGCTGTTGTCTGCTCTGTTAAACTCTAATGGGGTTAGAAAAGCCTGGAGGAGTGGCTCTGCTGGGAGCTGGGGAGTGTGTGCAGGAGGGAGCTGAGGTTTACAGCCTTGATGAGAAGAGCAAAGGATGAGCAGAGCTGAAGGATTGGCGTTTCTAGGAACGCTGAAGGGAAAAAAAAAAAAAAGTTCTCATTAGTTCAAAGAAATGATCTGGCTGTAGGTATTTGCAGAAAGGGGTAGGAACAAAGTCTCTGGAAAGGCTTTCCAGAAGGGTTAACAGGAAGGGGAAAGCAGGGAGAATCTGACTTTGAGTTAATTAATAAACTAGACCTTCAAGCTTTTGATCACAAATTGCTCCCTGTGATGGGCTGTTGGCTGCAGAAGGGAGGGAGCTGGCGCAGCAGCGTGACCTGACACTGCGGGAAGCCCAGCTCGAGGGACTCTGCTA